TTCCTAAAGATGGTGATAGATCTTTTCCTGTATTTGTTGATACTGGTTGCAGTCAGAATACCAGACTCTCTCTTTTTGTACAGAATCTACATGAAGCATGGGACCCCAGTTAAAATGATGGAGAGTTACATTGCAGTCCTTACAAAGGGGGTCTGCCAAAGTGAAGAAAATGGATCTTTTCTCAGCAAAGATTTTGATGCTCGGAAGGCTTATCTTGCTGGTTCCATCAAAGGTAGCTAATTTCAGAAATTTCTATTCTGATTTTGTTTGTACAATCTGTGAAACAAAACGTGTGTCCAACCATATAAAATACAATCCAGTGTTCATGTATTGTTCAAGTAAATAGTATGAACAGCACTATCAGTTACTACTACTAAGTTGCTTCAAAAACTATTCAAAATATTGGAATGTATATCCTATATAAAATATTTTTCCCCTCTTTCCTAGATATAGTATCTCAGTTTGGAATGGAAACAGTTATCCTTTATACCGCACTGATGTTAAAGAAAAGAATTGTAGTATATCATCCTAGAGTAGAAGCAATCCAGGAGTTTACCAGGTACAGCTTAACTCTTTCAGTCTCTATCTCCTGTCTCCTTGCAAATGTCCAACAGATCTTGAACTTTCATTTAGAGAAATATGTATATTTAGGGAGAAATACAGTTAGTATTTATTTTATGTCTTATCGAAGTCTATTGAAAAACTTGGACAAATTTAACAGCGACTGAATGATAAACTGCTTGCACTGATGGCAGAAATCTCTGTGAACACATGTGCTGAGTGAGACCCAGTCATGTTTGTTCTTCCTTGTGACACATGTTTCAGACTGTGAAACCTCTAATTAGTACAGGTAAAAATCTCCTATGTGTCAAATGCCAATCTCATTTCCTTAGGACTCTACCTGCTTTAGTCTGGCATCGACAAGACTGGTCAATTCTTCATTCGTATGTACATCTAAATGAAGACGAAATAGAAGCCTTAAAAGCCTGCACAGGTAGATCTAATTTCTTTGTAAAAATATAAGTGAAATTTGACTTTCATTTTCATTGATGAAATATGTTGCTTCAACACTGTTTTAGGAAAAAAAAA